CTTATGAGGCCACGAAAAGCTGCCCTGGGTGGCGGTGGCGCAAGCGGACGCACCCACTGGGGCCTTCGGTGGAGCTCCCTATGGGGCCACGAACCGTGTGAGGGGTGTGCCGTAATGGGTGGCGGTGACGCATGCAGGCCCTGCCACTGGAGCCTTCGGTGGAGCTCCTTATGGGGGCCACGAACCGTGTGAGGGGTGTGCCGTAACGGGTGGCGGTGACGCATGCGGGCCCCTGCCCCTGGAGCCTTCGGTGGAGCTCCTTATGAGACCACGAAAAGCTGTCCTGGGTGGCGGTGGCGCAAGCGGACGCACCCACTGGGGCCTTCGGTGGAACTCCCTATGTGGCCACGAACCGTGTGAGGGGTGTGCCGTAATGGGTGGCGGTGGCGCATGCGGGCCCTGCCACTTGAGCCTTCGGTGGAGCTCCCTATGGGGCCACGAAACGCCGTCCTGGGTGGCGGTGGCGCAAACGGACGCACCCACTGGGGCATTCGGTGGAACCCCATATGGGGCCACGAACCGTGTGAGAGGTGTGCCGTAATGGGTGGCGGTGACGCATGCGGGCCCTGCCACTGGAGCGTTCGGTGGAACTCCCCATGGGGCCACGAAGCGCTGCCCTGGTGGCGGTGACGCATGCGGACGCACCCACTGGGGCCTTCGGTGGAACTCCCTATGGGGCCGCGAACCGTGTGAGGGGTGTGCCGTAATGGGTGGCGGTGGCGCATGCGGACCCTGCCACTGGAGCCGTCGGTGGAGCTCCCTATGGGGCCACGGAACGCTGTCCTGGGTGGCGGTGGCGCATGCGGACGCACCCACTCGGGCCTTCGGTAGAGCTCCCTATGGGGCCACGAACCGTGTGAGGGGTGTGACGTAATGGGTGGCGGTGACGCATGCGGACCCTGCCACTGGAGCCTTCGGTGGAGCTCCCTACAGGGCCACGAAACGCTGTCCTGGGTGGCGGTGACGCATGCGGACGCACCCACTGGGGCTTCGGTGGAATTCCCTATGGGGCCACGAACCGTGTGAAGGGTGTGCCGTAATAGGTGGCGGGCCACTGGAGCCTTCGGTGGAGCTCCCTAAGGGGCCACGAAGACGCATGCGGACGCACCCATTGGGGCCTTCGGTGGAGCTCCCTATGGGGCCACGAACCGTGTGAGGGGTGTGCCGTAATGGGTGGCGGTGGCGCATGCGGGCCCCTGCCCCTGGAGCCTTCGGTGGAGCTCCCTATGGGGCCACGGAACGCTGTCCTGGGTGGCGGTGACGCATGCGGACGCACCCACTGGGGCCTTCGGTGGAACTCCTTATGGGGCCACGAACCGTGTGAGGGGTGTGCCGTAATGGGTGGCGGTGACGCATGCGGACCCTGTCACTGGAGCCTTCGGTGGAGCTCCCTATGGGGCCACGGAACGCTGTCCTGGGTGGCGGTGACGCATGCGGACGCACCCACTGGGGCCTTCGGTAGAGCTCCCTATGGGGCCACGAACCGTGTGAGGGGTGTGCCGTAATGGGTGGCGGTGACGCATGCTGACCCTGCCACTGGAGCCTTCGGTGGAGCTCCCTATGGGGGCACGAAACGCTGTCCTGGGTGGGCGGTGACGCATACGGACGCACCCACTGGGGCCTTCGGTGGAGCTCCCTATGGGGCCACGAACCGTGTGGGGGGGGTGCCGAACTGATGATGATGTTGATGATGATGATGATGATGATGATGATGATGATGATGCTGATGCTGATGCTGATGATGCTGATGATGATGATGATGATGATGATGATGATGATGATGATGATGATGATGATGATGTGATGATGATGATGATGATGATCATGATGATCATGATGATCATGATGATGATGATGATGATGATGATGATGATGATGATGATGATGATGACGATGATGATGATGATGGTGATGGTGATGGTGATGGTGATGGTGATGGTGCTGGTGATGATGATGATGATGATGATGATGATGATGATGATGATGATGATGATGATGATGATGATGATGATGATGATGATGATGACGATGCTGATGGTGACGGTGATGCTGATGATGGGGACAGGGAGGGGGGGGCAGCGGGAGGAGAAGGAAGGACGCGCGGCGCTGTCTCTTCAAAACGAGGACCCAACACCACAGGATGGCTGGGAAAAACCCACTGCCCTTTCCTCCATAGAGAAAAAACAAGCAACAAATAAAACACAAACAAAACAAAACAAAACAAAAAGCCTAGCGAAGGATCCAACCATATGCAGTTGTTAATACCGTCGTTGTATTCACCGCAATCGGAGGAGCTCCCCATATGGCCACGAAACGTGTGAGGGGTATGCCAAAAATTGTCCGGTGGGCGCGTGCGAAAGCAGCCACTGGGGCCGTCGGTGGAGCTCTCTATGGGGCCGCGAAACGTGCGATGAGTGTGCCGAAAATAAGTGCGGTGGGCGCATGCGAACGCAGCCACTGGCGCCCTCGGTGGAGCTCCCTATAGGGCCACGAAACGCGTGAGAGGTGTGCCGAAATGGGTGGCGGTGGCGCATGCGGGCGGTGGCACCAGGGCCTTCGTTGGAGTTCCCCATGGGGCCACGAAACGTGTGAGGGGTGTGACGAAATTTGCGTGGGTGATGCATGCGGGCGGTGGCACTGGGGCTTTCGGTGGAGCTCCCTATGGGGCCGCGAATCGTGTGAGGGGTGTGCCGAAATGTGTGTGTGTGTGTGTGGGTGACGCACGCGGGCGGTGGAAGGGGGCGAGGAGAAGTGAGTGACGCGGGGCGCTGTCTATTCAAAACGAGGACCCAACACCACAGGATGGTTGGAGAAACAACAAATATTCTGGCGAAGAGCCCAACCATACGCAGTTGCGAGTACCGTCGTTGCGGGTATCGCCTTCGGGGGATCTCCTCACGGGGCCATGAAGCATGCGAAGGGTGTGCCGATGTGGGGAGGGGCCGCCACGTAGGCGCTGCCACTGGTGCTTTAAGCGGACTGCGCTACGGGGAAGTGTGAGGGGTGCGCCGCAGTGGGGCGGGGCCGCCACTGGGGCATTCGGTGGAGCTCCCTACGGGGCAACGAAACAGTGTAATGGGTGGGAAGACGCATGAGAGTACAGCCACCGAGGCCTTCGGTGCAGCTCCCCATGAGGCCACGAAGCGCTGTGCTGGGTGGGGGAACGCATGCGAACACCGCCACTGGGGCCGTCGTTGGAGCTCCCTATGGGGCCACGAACGGCTGCACTGGGCGGGGGTAGCGCATGCGAATGCATCCACTGGGGCCTCCCGTTGACCTCCCTATGGGGCCACGAAACGCTGTACTGGGTGGGGGTGACGCTTGCGGACGGTGCCGTTGGGGCCTTCGGTGGAGCTCTATATGGGGCCACGAAACGCTGTACTGGGTGGGGGTGGCGCATGTGGATGGTGTCACTGGGGCCTTCGGTTGAGCCCCCTATGGGGCCACGAAGCGCTGCTGTAGTGGGTGGGGGTGGCGCATGCGGGCGCCACTGGGGCCTTCGGTGAAGCTCCCTGTGGGGCCACGAAGCGCTGTACTGGGAGGGGGGGTGACGCATGCGGGCGGTGCCACTGTGGCGTTCGGTGGAGCCCCCTATGGGGCCACGAAACGCTGTACTTGGTTGGGGTGACGTATGCGGGCGGTGCCACTGGGGCCTTCGGTGGAGCTCCCTGTGGGGCCACGAAACGCTGCACTGGGTGGAGGTGACGCATGCGGGCGGTGCCGCCGGGGCATTCGGTGGAGCTCCCTATGGGGCCACGAACCGCTGTACTGGGTGGGGGTGGCGCATGCGGGTGGTGCCACTGCGGCCTTCGGTGGTTCCCCATGGGGCCACGAAACGCTGTACTGGGAGGGGGATGACGCATGCGGGCGGTGGCACTGGGGCCTTCGGTGAAGCTGCCTATGGAGTCACGAAACGCTGTACTGAGTGTGGGTGACGCATGCGGGCGGTGGCACTGGGGCCTTCGGTGGAGCTCCCTATGGGGCCACGAAACGTGTGAGGGGTTCGACGAAATTGGTGTGGGTGACGCATGCGGGCGGCGGCACTGGCGTCTTCAGTGGAGCTCCCTGTGGGGCCACGAACCGCGTGAGGGGTGTGCCGAAATGGGTGTGGGTGACGCATGCGGGCGGTGGCACTGGGGCCTTCGTTGGAGCTCCCTATGGGGCCACGAAACGTGTGAGTGGTGTGACGAAATGCGTCTGAGTGACGCATGCGGGCGGTGGCACTGGGGCCTTCGGTGGAGCTCCCTATGGGACCACGACACGTGTGGGGGGTGTGCCGAAATGGGTGTGGGTGACGCATGCGGGCGGTGGCCATGTGGCCTTCGGTGGAGCTCCCTATAGGGCCACGAAACGCGTGAGGGGTGTGCCGAAATGGGTGTGGGTGACGCATGCGGGCGGTGACACTGGGGCCTTCGGTGGAGCTCCCGATGGGGCCACGACACGTGTGAGGGGTGTGCCGAAATGGGTGTGGGTGACGCATGCGGGCGGTGGCACTGGGGCCTTCGGTGGAGTTCCTTATGGGGCAACGAAGCGAGAGAGGGGTGTGACGAAATGGGTGTGGGTGACACATGCGGGCGGCGGCACTGTGGCCTTCAGTGGAGCTCCCTATGGGGCCACGAAACGTGTGAGGGGTGTGACGAAATGGGTGTGGGTGACGCATGCGGGCGGCGGCACTGGGGCCTTCAGTGGAGCTCCCTATGGGGCCACGAAACGTGTGAGGGGTGTGCCGAAATAGGTGTGGGTGACGCATGCGGGCGGTGGCTCCCTATGGGGCTGCGAAACGCTGTACTGGGTGAGTGAAACGCAGGGAGGAGGGAGGAGGGGGAGGAGGGAGGAGGAAGGAAGGAAGAAGGGAAGGAGGAGACGCGGGGACCGTCCCTTCAAAACGAGGACCAAACACCACAGGATGGTTGGGAAAAAAACGATCACCAGATCACCTCCTCGAGGCGAGGGCAGCTCCTGCCGGCCCTCTCCCGCATGACCCCCGCACCCTACCCGACCGACCAGGCTGCCAGCGTAGTCGACGGTGACGAGGTCGGGGTTGTCGAAGAAGTACTCGTTGATCATGCGGTTGTCGAGCCCGGTGTAGGTGTCGAGGCCGGAGAGCATCTCGTAGACCTCGGGGGCAGCAGCAGCAGCCACGACGTCGGATCGGGAGGTCGGGTGGCATCAGAAGGCGCGTCGGATCGGGCTCTGCACCGGCACAAGTCATGATCGAATCGATTCGGCCGCGCCAGGACGCACAGCAACGCCATGCAGGCATCAGGCCGCATCAGCTCGTCGGAGTTTCGGAATCGAATCGGATCGGGCCGGCCAGAATCGAGATCGATCGGATTACATTAGATCGATCGGCTTAATCTAAGCCCTGCCTTGAGGAGGAGAGGAACTCCCAGACATCCGGCGTGTATGTTTTTCACGCTGAGGTTCCCCCCAGGGGAGGTTCGGAACCCGCCCTGGAGTCCAGCTGTTCATCATACAGCTGTTGACGGCCCCGAGGCCCAGTGATAGCCCCCGGGAGGCCCAAGAATGCCAGAAGCCTTCCTCGGCGCCTCAAAACTGGGGCTTTCAAGGATGGGGTCCTGAGTGCAGGGTGCTTCAAACAACGCAAGTCCACCCTGGCTCCCTGCCCATCTTGGGGGGCGGAAAGATACGGATACGTGTTGTCCCCGGACCTCTCTTGGGGTGCGTTCTGACCAGAATTTCGAGGCGAATCCAGCGGTGACAACGAGGATTCCCCAGGAGGACCAGGAAAGGCCGAAAACGAAGGGGGACAACACGTATCCGTATCTTTTTGTCTCCCGACCATCCTTGGGCCCCCATCCCTCAGGACCCCCATCTTGGAACCACCGACTTCCGCCGTGGGTTCCTCAAGACGTGCGGAGGCGGGGCCTTCGGGCCTTGGCCCCCCAAGCCTCTGGCCGCCGTTTTCGGGACGACTCGGGCACCCCCCCCGCGGACGCGCTCTCGACAGAGGGCGCGGCAGCTGGAGGGCGGCCCGAGGCTGGAGAACCTTCTGGGGGAGCCGAGGCTGGAAAATCGTTCGGCGGCAACTCGTGGGAGCCACCCATCTCACTCTCTCCGGCCCTCGACTCCTGGGAGCCTCCCGCACCCTCTTTGCCGGCTCCTGCGAGCCGACGCGAAACCGACGCCAGTATCGACGCTGGATCGACGCTGATCCACGCTGGCCGACGCTGAACCTGCGCTACCTCATCGACTCCCGGGACGCTACTCCAGATCTCGTAATAAAAGGGAGGGGGTCTGGACCCTCCAAGACAAGCCATTTCAGACCCCCCCCCCGTGGGAGAACCCTCTAAAACATCGTCCCCAGACCCCCCCAGGCCCTCCAAGATAGCCTGGAAGAGACCCCCCCCGAAATGAGACCCCCCTCCCTTTATTACGAAATCTGGAGTAATCGACGCCACTCGACGCTGAAGACGGAGTTCAGAGGGGCATGCCGGGCTCCCACGACGTGCGACCGCAGACTCCCGTCCTGGGGGAGCGAGCGCAAAGCGCCCGAGACGACGGGGGAGGTCTTGTCTTTTGGAGGCCCAGCAATGGGCACCAGCACCAACACCGGGGGCTGCCTCCACAGGGGGAAGACGATCCTCGATCTCGGTGTTGGCGGCAATACTTCGGCCACCTTGGAAGCCAGAATAGTACCACCATCACCGAGATCGGGATCCTCCTCCCTCGGTGGATGCACACCGCCGATGTTGGTGTTGGTGTCAATCTCTAGGCCTGCGACGTCTTTTCTTGTCCACGGCGCGGGAGGGCCAGGGAAGGCCCAAGGCCCCAGGGGGGGCCCAGGTGGCCCTCTGGCTTCTGATCAGACACGCCCGAGGTCTGGATGGGGCCCTGGCCCGCATTGCAGCAGGGGCCCCACCACAAGAAGCCCTCCACGAGAAACCCAACCCTGAGACCCACCGACGCCCCTCGACTTCTTGGCGTGGGGACGTCACGCCTGACACCGCGAAACCCGGGGCACCCTGGAGGCAAGCAGGGCGTTTCCTGGCATGGACCCCCACTGCACTCCAGATCTCGTAATAAAAGGGAGGGGGTCTGGACCCTCCAAGACAAGCCATTTCAGACCCCCCCCCCGTGGGAGAACCCTCCAAAACATCGTCCCCAGACCCCCCCAGGCCCTCCAAGATAGCCTGGAAGAGACCCCCCCCCGAAATGAGACCCCCCTCCCTTTCTTACGAAATCTGGAGTACCCTCGTCCCCCGGGCCAACACCCGGCTCTCCGGCGGCCGCTCGGGACGACCCCTTGCACCCCCCGGCAGGCTCGCGACGAGGCGCGGGCCCCGAAAGCGATCGAGCAGCAACAACAAAAAAACCACGCAGAGAGCACGGACGGCCCGAGAGGGCTCCCGCGAGCCGCGGGAGAAGCCCTCGGCACCGGCAGGGGGCCCTCGGGGGCGCCTCTTCGTGGGCCTCCCAAACCCTCTCGTGGGCCTCTCGCGAGTCGACGCCACATCGACGCTGCCCGGCGCGCAGGCCGACGCTACGTCGGCGCTGTCTCATCGACTCCCCGACGCCAGTCGACGCTCATCGACGCTGAAGACGGAAAAAGGCAGGGTACGCCAAGCTCCCATGATTTGCGACCGAAGGACACATGGTGTGGTACGGCAGGTTCGTGCGGTGAGGACCCTGGCGCTGGTTCCTGACACGGCGAGGGTCGTTCCGCCTGGAACGATCGGCGGCTTCTCGATCGCTTGATCGTTCCAGATTGGCCAGTTCCAGGCCACTGGCGGCGTTCAGCCCTGAAAGGCCGCAGCGGGGTCGCAGCCGCGTCGACACAACACAAATCTGCCGTAAGCACCGTGATTTTGCTTTTTTACCTCAAAGGCTGAAACAGAATGTCTGGCAGCAACGCTGACACTGGTGAGAAAAACAATCATCGTGTTGGGAGGAAGGGGTTGGGAAGATAGTGCACGAATGTGTAAAAAGCACCTTTAACATAGCGACCGTTTTCTTATTCGGCATTTCGACATTGGGCGGAAGGGAGGAAGGGGGGGGTCTGGCTCTGGACCTCTGCTTGACGCGACTGCTTGCAACAGTGCGTCTTATGGGGGAGACTCCACCTGCTTGAAACAGGCGCCGAGAACAGCCAAGATCTACTCCATGCGCGGGGGGTGGGGGGGGCGAGGACCCGCGCCGATCGGCAAAACAAAAAATCATGTACAACAACTGCACGCAACAGTTTCGATGACACGATCCTCTCTCCCAAACCCCCTTTCTCCGGACCGATAAAACCGCCGTTCTGAGCTGGCTGATGCTGGCTTCGGCGTATGACAGGCGTGGCCCGCGGGCGCCCCACCCCGCACCCCCGGGCCCCTCGGGGACCGGCGGCGACGGCCCCGGGAGGAGAGGAACAGGGGGCCCAGGCATCCCCACGGGGCAGGGGGGAGGGAAGAGAGGATCGAGGCTCGAGGATCGAGGCTGCACGGTCGAGGTTGCAAGGCCGAGGGAAGAGAGGATCGAGGCTCGAGGACGGAGGCTGTGGGGCCGAGACGTCCTGGCGCTGTGGGGCCTCCTTCGAGAGGGCCCTGAGACACGCAAATAAATATACACAAATGACAGGATTCCCCATCTTTGCCCACATTCTCTGGATTTTCGGTCCTCCCCCCACTTCCCATATTTTCCGATACTTTCCTGGGAATCGACGAGGAGTTGTGTCTGTGTGTGTTTTTTCCCCCTGATCCTTGGGGCGCCCTCGCGGCCACGGCGGGACTTTCCCCTCGAGGTGCGGGTCGGAACGCACCCCAGGGCAGGTCCACGGGGAGACGTTGGAGCCCCACGGCGGGGGGGGGGGGGGGGCGTTCCGTCATGCCCCCTTCCCGCCCCCCCCCCACCCACGGCGGAAGGTCTCAGGCAGTTCCCAGCCTGTGGGTCTTGACCAGGCCTCCAGGGCCATCCAAAAAGGGCTCGGGATGAAGAGCCGATCCCCAGGAAAGGGTCCAGTACTCTGGGGAGCAACGTTGCGGAACAAACGCGACGTCGGATGTCTGATGTCTGGAGGGAGGAAGAGGAGGAGCAAAAACTGCATCCGGCGCGACCCAAATTCGGGGTCCTCTTTCTTCCAGAGCATTTCAAAGCAGCTCCGAGCAATGCACAGCGATGCAATGCTCGGCATTGCTTGCTGTCGCTTGGCATTGCTTGGCACTGCTCGGCATTGCTTGGCATTGCTTGACGTTGCTTCGTTCGCCTGGCATTGCTCAGTGATGCGCGGCAGAGCTTGGCATTGCTTAGCACTGCTTGGCATTTGTTGGATATTGCGTGGCGTTGCTTGGCATTGCTTGTTATTGCCTGGCATTGTTTGGTATTGCTTGGCATTGCTTGTTTTGCTTAGCATTGCCTTGCATTCCTTGGTTTTGCATGGCATTGCCTGGAACTGCTTGGCACTTGGCCTTGCTTGGCGTTGTTTGACATTGTTTGGCGTTGTTTGGTATTACTTGGCATTGCTCGGAATTGCTTGGCGAGGGTTGGTATTGCTCGGCATTGGTTGGCAATGCTTGGCACTGTTTGGCATTGCTTGGCATTGCTTGGCATTGCTTGGCGATGCCTGGCGGTGCTTGGCGGTGCTTGGCTTTGCCCAGAATTGCCTGGCATTGCTTGGGAATGCTTTACACTGTTTAGCGTTGCTTGGTGATGCTTGGCACTGCCTTGGCACTGCCAAGCAACGAGGAACCTGGAGATTCGCCAGGGGCCGCCACTGCCAAGGCACGCCGAGGAACAACGTCAAGAACGCCCGAGAAGAACCCCGAGGAACGACGGGGAGCGAAGGACCCTGGAGCAAGTAGCTTCCTTCACAGAAAGGTCAGAAACCCAGAGGCAGAGTCCAATGCTGAGATGACAACCATACATACATACATACATACATACATACAGACAGACAGACAGACAGACAGGCAGACATACATACATACACACACACATCCATCCATCCATCCATCCATCCATCCATCCATCCATGCATGCATGCATGCATGCATGAATACACACATACATACATACATACATACATACATACATACATACATACATACATACATACATACATACATAAATTCATACATACATACATTCATACATACATACATACATACATGCATGCATGCATGCATGCATGCATGCATGCATACATACATACATACATACATACATACATACACATATACATGTTGGTACAGAAACATATACCTAAACAAACACATATACATATACCATATGCATGTGTACATACAAACATGCGTGTATACATACATACAGACAAACATGAATGCATGCACGCGGGCATACATACATATATACATGCGTGCATACGTGTATGCATACATACACGCATACATACATATACACATGCATGCGCATATGCATACATACGTGCTTGTCTATATGCATACGTACATATTTGCATGCATGCAAGCATGTATACAAGCATGCATACGGACATACACACATACATAAATCCATACATACATGCATGCATGGCGTCCATACATACATACATACATACATACATACATACATACGTACGTACATACATACATACATATATACATACACACATATAAATAAATTATCCCAGTGCGACCCTACCTAGGAGTTGGAGCATTTAGAAAAGCAACATCTACATCTACACCGACTATGCTGATGCTATGCTATGCTATGCTATGCTGTCCCAGTTGCGCTATGCGATGTTATGCCTGTACTAGCTTAGCTTTATCCAAGCTGCGCTGTGCTATGCTATGCTATGCTATGCTATGCTATGCGATGCTATGCTTGGCTATGCTATGCTATGCTATGCTATGCTATGCTATGCTATGCTATGCTATGCTATGCTATGCTGCGCTATGCTATGCTGTGCTATGAGATGCTGAGCTATGCTATGCTATGGTATGCTATGCTTGGCTATGCTATGCTATGCTGTGCTCATGCTGCGCTGCGCTATGCTGCGCTGCGCTAAGCTAAGGTAAGCTAAGCTAAGCTAAGTTAGGCTGGGCTAAGCTAAGCTAAGCTAAGCTAGGCTATGCTAAGCCAAGCCAAGCTAAGCTAAGCTAAGCTAAGATTATATAAGCTAAGCTAAGTTAGGCTGGGCTAAGCTAAGCTAAGCTAGGCTAGGTTAAGCCAAGCCAAGCTAAGCTAAGCTAAGCTAAGATGATATAAGCTAAGCTAAGCTAAGATAAGCTAAGCTAAGCTAAGCTAGGGTAGGCAAAGCTAAACTAAGCTAAGCTAAGTTAAGCTAAGATGAGATAAGCTAAGCTTAGCTTAGCTTAGCTTAGCTTAGGGAGAACCGCGGGGCGGATGCCGGGGGAACCGCGGGGCGGATCCTGGGGGAACCGCCTGGGGCGTTTTCCACTGCCCGGCCCTTTAAGCCAACACGGTAAGAACCCTTCCAGGCAGAGCCTAGGTAGGGAACATACATACATACATGAATACACACATACATAGCATCCATGCAAACAGACATGCATATATATATATATATATATATATATATATATATACGTATACAGAGGACGTCGTTCGCGGGGCCCATGATGAAGCCCATGTTCGCGTACTGGTACCTGGGCGGACTGCTGCAGATGCTGTGAAGCGTGCCGGTGCAGTTTGCGTAGTCCTCCGCCCAGTCCTGCGGCACGGAGAAGTTCGAGAGCACGGCCTGCCTCCGCGTCTCCAGCGACGCAGTCATGTTGTACTTCCAGCCCATGTCCTCCGGGTAGGGCGACATTTCGGCAGCCAGGACGATCTTCTGAGTGCCTCCGCTGGCGTTGACGATCTGGTCGTACTTGTACTGGAGAGTGGTCTCGTCGCAGCCGCCGTACAGGACATCGCCGGGGGAGTGCACGGCGACCAGCTTGTCCGGATAGCGCGAGATCCACATCTCGAGCCACGTCTTCACCCCGAACCACTTGATCCTTTACGGCGGCGAGCCCAGGGGGGAAGTGAGAAGGGGCGGGCCTTCTCAAAAGACTCGGAAGTCCCCCGGCCTTCTGAGAAATCTTCTGAGCCTTCCCCGAAGACACAAAAAGCTTCTCAGAAGGCCAGAGAGCTTCGGTTTGGACGCCCGAGATGGGCACGGAAAACATGGGTACAATGCCCAACAACCAATGTTGTCCCGAACCAGCAGCGGCCGCTGCTGGGCAGGCGGCCTTCTGTTTCAAATGGACACAGGCCGCGGCGGCGCGGACAGCGAGTCCTGCTCAAAAGGGACAGAGGAACTGATGTTGGGCATTGTGCCCCATCCTTTTCGCACCCACTTCGCTCGTGCAGATTCGGAGAAGCCCCGCCGCCTTCCGAGAAGGCCTTCTCCTTCTCACTTCCCCCCCTCGCTCGCTAGCGGCGTTGGCACGGCCAGGCTTCCCAGCAGGGCTGGCCGAGGCAGCGGCAGCTCAGAGTTCCGAGCCGCGTCCGGCACGCGGGCGACGAGGGCCCCCCCGAAGGCCCCACACCGGGGCCTCCACTCCTCCTCCTCCTCCTCCTCCTCCTCCTCCTCCTCCTCCTCCTCCTCCTCCTCCCCCTCCTCCTCTTCTTCCCCCTCCTCCTCCTCCTCCCCCTCCTCCCCCTCCCTTCCCCTCCCTTCCCTCCTCCTCCCCCTTTCCCCCCCCCCCCCCCCCTTTCCCCCATCCTCCCTCCTCCTCCCCATCCACCCCCCTCGAGAACGGAGGAAGTAGGAAGGCAGGAGTGAGGAGCCGCGGGTCGGACGAAAGAGATGGCGCATGAAAGAGGAATCGGCGATATCGATCGCCGACAGATCGGCGGTAGGCCTCCGAAAGTGAATCCCAACCTTCCTGGGCAGGTTGGGGCTGTCGGACCCCTGTCGGCGATTAATGGGCGATTGGGGGCCGATGCATCCCCCCCATACCTATCCCCCCCTATCGTTGCCCCCGAAGTCTATGCACAATCCCGCCCTGGGCCCCGGGGGCTCTTGGCACGGCAGGCTCGTGCCGTGCCGGCCTGGGCGCTGGCTCCTGACACCGCGGGGATCGCTCCACCCTGAGCGATCGGCCGTTGCCGAAGCGTCAGATCGCTCCGCATCGCACGGCTCGGGGTCGCCCGCGGCGGCCCACGTCGAACGCCAGCGGCGGGGTCGCCGCCGGTCGACACGCCAGCGAACCTGCCGTGGCGGTGGACGGCGGATGATGTGGACGCCTCCCAGCCCGCGGCGGGCGGGGAAACAGCCACGCGCGCCACCCCTCGAGCTCCCAGGGCACGGCTCCGAAGCGGCGGATACGGCACGGATGTGCTGCGACCCAGCCGTGGAAATCCCCCCGAAGACCAAGATCCCCAGCCAGAGCCCCCCCCCTCCCAGGGCCCCTCCTGGCCGACTTCCCGAGGCGCGCCCGCCCGCGCCCACGAGGACCCTTCAGAAACACCATAGAGAAACCTGGAAAGCGACGAGGCCGACGACGACGACGACGACGACGACGACGACGACGACGACGACGACGACGACGACGACGACGACGACGACGACGACGACGACGACGGCGGCGGCGGCGGCGGCGGCGGCGACGACGACGACGACGACGAAGACGGCAACGGACCTCTGCCACTGCCACACGGTCAGATCGGACGTCGGGTTCACCACACCGCTCAGGTGCATGAAGTCCAAGCCGCCGACCGACCCCCCCATGCGGTAGACGGAGGGCGGGGCGGGCGGCTGCATGGTGTCCTTGATGTACGCTGTGCCGATGGCGATGTTCGGGGACAGCCCGTTTTGCACCTCGCGACGGGAACACGCCGCCGGGAAACTTTTTCCGTCGGCGGCGAGGCAGAGGCAGTCCGCTCCAGCGTGTGGCCAATCGGGGCAACCAAAATACGAATTGTCCGGCGTGCAACAGGAAGGAAAAAAGGGCGAGGGCGGCCGCGCAGGGGGGAGGAGGGGGGGCTGCCGGGAAACATCTGCATCTCGAAGAACAGAACACGGCATTAGCAGACACTTTGGACGGTCCGCGCGGGTTTCTTGGATCGGCGCTGGACGCCCCCGGCGGCGATCCAAGAAACCTGCACGGGCCTCCGAACAAGTGGCCTTCTGACGTCCACAGCTGCTGGAGCCATGCCCCGGATCCCTCGGGAACGGTGCATGTGAATGCCCTCCTGTCCTCGGCGAGGGCGCAGATTCCCTCATCCACCACTCCTCGAGAGGCCCTCGAGATCCTGGGGCACGACTCTACGCCACGAATCTATAAATACAGATATACATATATATGTATATATATATATATACACGGCACCCTCCGAGGAACTTTGCATGTACCTTCAGGGAGGGTGACGGTGCATAAAACCGCTGGCTGTCAGTGGTGATTTACGCACAGCCACCCTCGCAGAAGGCCCCAGGGCAATCCATCAGAGGGTGTCTGTGTATATATATATATATATACAGATACATGTGTATATATATATATATACATATATACACACACATATATGTGTGTAGCGGAGGCTCCGAGGCGGTGGACTTGGATGCACCCCGGCGGGGGACAAAGGGAGCCTGCCGCGAAGAGGAGGTGGACGACCTCGCGCGGTGGCTCACGCACGGCGCCAAAACGGACGCCCATTTCGACGCTTCTTGAGCGGGGCGCGGCCAACGAAAGTGGCCAAGGATAAACCGATGAGGCAAGGATGGAAGGGCATCCTGAGGAAAATGGCCCGTCCTGACTATGCGGGCTGACTGTGCACCTCCTGGAGGTCCGACTTCTTACTTCTCCGGCATGGGGGCAACGGGTCCTGAGGGCAACGGGTCCTGGACCCCGGGGGCCTTCCCCTCAGGCCCAGCTCTTCATCCCGGGCCGCTCTCTGACAGCCCCTGGAGCCCGTGGAGGGCCCTCCGGGAAGCCGAAGACAACGAGAGACCTCAGGACCCGTTTCCGCCAGGACCCCGGTCCCCCTGTGGCGACTTCTGCCGGCCTCCGCCAGTGTAGATTGTGCCCCCTGTGGCGACTTGTGCCTCCTCCTTCTGCCGGCCTCTGCCTTCTGCCCGCGCCTTCTACGAAGCAGGCTCCTCCTAAGAAGCCCTCCCTCCTCCGCACACCCCCATGTGCGCGCCGCCAATAGGAGGAGGAGGAGGAGGAGGAGGAGGAGGAGGAGGAGGAGGAGGAGAAGGAGGAGGAGGAGGAGGAGGACGAGGAGGAGGAGGAGGAGGACGAGGAGGAGAACGAGGAGGAGGAGGAAGGCCATTCCCGCCCCGGTGTAGCGCACTTCCGCCGGCCGTTCCGCAGGCCGTCTCGCCGCCGCCCGCCGAGGCAGAGGAGAGGCAACGGCTCGACCCCCTCGAGGGCGAAGGCGAGACCTGTGTTGCATCACAGCAGCAATTCGACCCCTGACTTTCGTCCTGGGCTCGGTTTAGTGAAGTGATGAATTTCGTGGTGCTTACGTGGAGGGGAAAAACAAAAAAAAAAAACTTCACTAATCTGGGGCCCCTGGGGCCTCCATGGGCCCTGGGGCCCAGAATTAGTGACGTGATGGCTTTCGGGCCTCGGAGCGAAGGCCTGTCTGGAGCACCCCACGCCGCGGCCGGCCCCGGACACCCGGAGCGCAAGGACATGGGCGCCTCCGGGGACGACGACCTTCCCAGACCCCCCACGCCACGGCCGGCCCCGGACACCCGGAGCGCAAGGACATGGGCGCCTCCGGGGACGACGAGCTGTGCAAAAACCGCGACGAGAGGCTCTCCGCTGTGCGCGGCCTCCCGGGGCCCTTACCGGGCCCCGGGACCGTCCGAAAACGCCTCGGGATGAAGAACTGGTCCCCGGGGAAGGGGCCCAGACCTCTGGGGGTCCACGCTGCGCACCCCAGAGCAGTGCGTGCTCGCAGGGGACCGGCTGGGAGAGGAGGAGGAGGAGGAGGAGGAGGAGGAGGAGGAGGAGGAGGAGGAGGAGGAGGAGGACGAGGAAGAGGAGGAGGACGAGGAGGGGAGGTGGTTTGGAGCTGGCCGCCTCGGCTCTCGGCTGCCGCCAAGACCCCTCGCCGCCTCGTGCGTGCCTCCAGCTCTCGCCCGGGCTGGCCGAGTCCTGTGCTCCAGCTCGCCGACCCCTCGAGGGCGAGGCGATCCCTTGAGGACGAGGCAACCCCTCCAGCTTCCTGGCAACACCTCGCCGACCCCTCGAGGACGAGGCGACCCCGCCAGCTTCCTGGCAACACCTCGCCGACCCCTCGAGGGCGAGGCCCTCTGCGGAGCGCCCTGCGCCGAAGGAGGGCGCCTGGCGCACGCGACCCTGCGCGGGCTGCCTGCGCAGAACGCCCTCGCAACCCACCCCCCCTCCGACGAAGCGGGGATTCATCCATGACCACCGCCTGCCGAGTCCCCGAACACCGACCCCCCAGGCGGTGGTTGTGGATAAATCCCCGCCTCGGACTTTCTTCGCAGTGTCGCCAACCTCGCGAACCGTGCCCAGCGACTCCTGCTTGGCCTCGGCGGTGGAGTTCTCCAGGAGGGGGTGCTCCCCGACGTACCTGGGAGGAGCGCAAGAGCATGAAGAACGGAGGCATAGGACGTCCGCCAACGGTCTCTGCGCCAGCGCACTGTTCCATGCACATCCATATCAACAGATGTGAAAACATATGTATACAAGTGGTAGGTGCGTGCTCAGGCTCAAACAACAAGAACTGCAGCACGTACGCATCGCAGAAAATGGGCAAGAAGTCGACTACGAAGTCGGACCCGAGGAGGAGGAGGAGGAGGAGGAGGAAAAAAAAAAAAGCGATGGAGAAGCAGAGGAAAAAAGGAGAGAAGGAGGAGAATGAGGATCACCAGGGGGCTGTGGGGAAGGAGGTGCAACAGCGGGATCGCAGTCGAACGCAGGCACCTTGCGATGTCTGTAGCGCAGGAGGGTATTCCAAACCTTGCGATTGCAGTTGAAAACAAGCTATGAAGCCAATGCGTGGAGGGTGTCTCTAGCGAAATTTACAGTTTGAACTGTCTTTGAATACGTCGGGTTTCAATGTTGGGGGATGTCTCACGCGAAACGGCTGTTTTTCTAAGAGCGACGTCCAACATCATTCATACCCATTGTGTGCTTTGAAAAGGTTGACGGCAACATGTTGACAGTCCGGCGTGGTCTTGGACAGTGACGTCGCGATCTGGGGGGGGTGCGTTCGATGTTCGGTATGGTGAGGCTGTCCCTAGCGAAACGGCCCCAAAAAATGGGGCGACGGCTTCAAATGAATCGGTTCTGAGCTCTACTCCATCGGAGACGGAGACGTGCGTATGATAATATACATACATAAGCAGATATATACATAGATATGTGTATCCATAGACCTAGACATATACCTATACCTACACATATACCTATGCATAAACATATACACATACACATGCGTATACAACTATATATATGTACAAACATACACAAATATGTATACAGACATGAACATAAAGATACACATATACATGTATATGTACACACACATTCGTGTACATGTACATATACATATACATATACATCTACATATACATATACATGTACACATACATATACATATACATATGCATATACATATACATAAACAAATGCAAAGGCACAGACACATACATACACATGTTCATATACATGCCTTCCCCAAACAACGCTTGCCCGGAAAGGTTCCTGCCTGCGTCTAGCCTGCGCCCCCCGGCTTTCCCCGGGCCGCCACCCCTGGCCCCCTCGATCGCCGCCTCGTCGCCGCCTCGTGCGCCGGCTGGCGGCTCGGGGCCTGCCCGCGGCCGCCTGGTCGCCGCCTCGGCGCCGCCTCGTCGCCGCCTCGCCGCCGCCCCGTCGCCACCCCGTGGCCGCCGCCTCGTGGTCGCCTCGTTCCTCCTCCTCCTCCTCCTCCTCCTCCTCCTCCTCCTCCTCCTCCTCCTCCTCCTCCTCCTCCTCCTCCTCCTCCTCCTCCTCCTCCTCCTCCTCCTCCTCCTCGTGGCCACCCCGTGCGCCACATAGCTCGCACCACACAGCTCGCACCACACAGCTCGCACCACACGGCTTGCCCCACACCGCTCGCCCCGCACCGCCCGCAGCACACGGCTCGCACCACAGAGCTTGCACCGCAGAGCTTGCCCCGAACAAATCGCTCCACGAAGGTGGCGATATCTTACACCACCTGGCTTGCGTCGCATGTCTTGCAAATCCAGAGTGCACGAGGGCACTTGTCGGGGCCCGCGCTGGTACATATTTGAACGTATACATGTGCACATGTGTACGCAAACATGTGAATGTACCTACATAAGTTCCTCCTCCTCCTCCTCCTCCTCCTCCTCCTCCTCCTCCTCCTCCTCCTCCTCCTCCTCCTCCTCCTCCTCCAATCGTCCCCTCTCATGGAGGAGGAAGGAGGGGGAGGAGGGGGAGAGACGAAGATCGATGATCGAGGAATGACGACGACAACGATCACAATGACGATGATGATGGTGTTTCTGATGATAATGCCGGCGACGACGACGACGACGACGACGACGACGACGACGCAGGTGACCGTGATGACGATGATCCGCGTGCCCCCAGAGCGCGCGGACGTCAGCGCCTACACTCAATGCCTACCCCAGGGGGTAGTCGCGGGCAGCTTTATGAATACGGAAAAAATGAATGTCTGAAACTGGGATATTGCCGCCTACTTGGGGTTGTGGCCGCCAAGCTGCACCCCCCCCACACCTCCCGTCAGGGAGGGGGGGGGGTTCAAACCCCCCCCCCTCCTGCTTCCCCTCTCCTCGGGCCGGCGCTTGCGCCGGCGGCGGCTGGCGACGGCGGCGGGGACGACGATTTCCATTTCTGGGCCGGCGCCGGCCGGCGCCTGCGGCGGCGGGCGGCGGTGGCGGGGAGCGTCGACGAGGAGGACGGTGGTGGTGGTGGTGGGTTGTGGTGGTGGTGGTGGTGCTAGCGGTGGTGGTGGTTGTGGTGGTGGTGTGGTGGTTTGTTGTGGTGGTGGTGGTGGTGGTGGTGGTGGTGGTGGTTGTGGTGCGGTGGTGGTGGTGGTGGTGGTGGTTTGGTGGTGGTGTGGTGGTGGTTTGTGGTGGTGGTGGTGGTGGTGGGTTGTGGTGGTGGTGGTTTGGTGGTGTGTGGTGGTGGTTTGTGGTGGTGGTGGTGGGTTGTGGTTGTGGCGGTGGTTTGTGGAGGTGGTGCTAGTGGTGGTGGTGGTGGTGGTGGCGGTGGTGTGGTGGTTTGTGGTGGTGGTGGGCTGGTAGTGGTGGTGGTTGTGGCGGTGGTGGTGGTGTGGTAGATTGTGGTGGTGGTGGTAGTGGTGGATTTTTGTGGTGGTGGTGGTGATGGTGAGTTGTGGTGGTGGTGGTGTGGTTGGTGTGGTGGTGGTTTGTGGTGGTGGTGGTGGGTTGTGGTGATGGCGGTGGTTTGTGCACGTTTGTTGGTGGTGGTGGTGGTGGCGGTAGTGTGGTGGTGTGGTGGTTTGTGGTGGTGGCGGTGGGTGTGCTGCTGGTAGTGGTTGTGGCGGTGGTGGTGGTGTGGTAGATTGTGGTGGTGGTGGTAGTGGTGGTGGGTTTTTGTGGTGGTGGTGGTGATGGTGAGTTGTGGTGGTGGTGGTTGTGGTGGTGGTGGCTGTGGTGTTGTGTGGTGCTGTTGGTGGTGGTGGTGGGTTGAGGCGGTGGTGGTGGTGGTAGTGGTGGTGGTGGTGGTAGTGGTGGTAATCGTTGCTGCGTCCCCGCCGTGGGCGCTGCTGGCGGCCGCCAGCGCCGGCGCCGGCGCCGGCGCCGAAGGGAGGGGGGGTTGAAACCTCCCTCCCTGGTCGGGAGGGGGGGGTATTGGGGGAGGGGAGACCCCCCGGTTTTGATTGACGGCGCCGAATGTTGGGGGGGGGGCCCCACCCCCGGGTTTGAAACGCCCCGCCGAATGTTCCCGAGGCAAGCGCCCGTGAAACGCGTTCTCAGAGATGGACACCCTCTGAAAATGATGACAACGATGACGGTTGTTATGAATCGACGATGATGATGGTAATGACGATGATGCTGATGATAATGATGATGCTGATGATGATGGTGATGCTAGTGATGATCATGAGAATGATGATGGTGATGGCGATGGTGATGGTGATGGTGATGGTGATGGTGATGGTGATGGTGATGGTGATGGTGATGGTGATGGTGATGGTGATGGTGATGGTGATGGTGATGGTGATGGTAATGGTGATGATGGTGATGGTGATGGTGATGGTAGTGGTGATGGTGATGGTGATGGTGATGGTGATGGTGATGGTGATGGTGATGGTGATGGTGATGGTGATGGTGATGGTGATGGTGATTGTGCTGTTGTTGATGGTGATGATGGTGATGATGCTGACTATGATGATTATGACGACGACGGTGATGATGACGGTGGTGATGATGATAATGATGATGGTGATGATGATGATGATAATGATGGTGCTGAGGATACTGATGAAGATACTGGTGATGCTGATAATGATGGTGATGCTGATGCTGATGATTATGGTGATGTTGATGCCGATGGCGATGGGGATGTGAAAATGATAATGGTGATGATGGTGATGCTAGTGATGATGAAGACGATGATAATGACGACGACGGCGACAATTATGATGAAGGATGTGATGAGTATGGTGGTGATGGTGATGATGGTGGGATATAGTGATGACGGTGACGATGATGATAATAATAATAATATTATTAATAATCATAATCATAATCATAATAATAATAATAATGATGATGATGATGATGATGATGATGATGATGATGATGATGATGATGATGATGATGATGATGATGATGATGCGCGTCAGCCTCTGACTAGACTGCCAAGGCAAATGGACACAACCTTTAACAAGCCCGTCAAGGCAGAGATAGCCCTAGACAGGCGTAAAAGCTGCCAAGATCTGATCTGGGCGATACGCCTATCTCGCTCCTCCCCAGCTCCCAAACTACATGTCCCCAGCAAGGAATAATCCCTGTGCAAGCACGGTTTCGGAAACCAGGTTTCTCCCGAGAACTTCCAGCGCGCACCACTTGCCCTTGTTCCTGCTCTTGCCGTTCATCATTCCCTCCATCATGGCCATCGACTACGCGTCGTAGGGATCGCAACCCCAGCCGCCCCAAGACCAGTCATCCCAGCCCCAGGAGTCCTTGCCTTCGCACGTATCCTTGCCCTTGCCCTTTTCGTTTCTCTTGGTATCGTCGGCGTAGTTGCACACGATTTGGGTCTCCAAGCCGTCGACAATCGTCCCGCTGAGCTGCTCCTCGATGAGCGTGGCAGTCTCCTGCGACTTGACCCTCATCATCGCGCTGGCGAGCTTGCCCTCCTTCTTCGGCGGGAACACCCTCGCGCTCGCGATCTCGCCATGGCGGGAGAACTTGACCTGGAACTGCTCCAACTGCATCGCGGGCGGCAAGTTTACAGGGGCCCAATGATACACAAATAAATGCACAAAAATCCCAGGATTCCCATATTTGTCCGTAGTTTCTGAGTTTTCGTCTTCCCCCCACTTCCCATATTTTCCTATATTTTCTTGGGGATCGGCGATTAATTGTGTCTGTGTGTTTTGTCCCCGCCTGAAAGTTGCCGATCCACACATTCGTGTTGGGGGACGGTCTGCCTCCTGGGCTTCTCCTGACCCGTGGTGCCGGTTGAGCCAGCCAGTCTGAGCAGCCCGAGCGTCGCGTGAGTGAAACCGACTGGGGCGAAAGCGCTTGGGGCCAAAATGGCGTGAGCAGAAATGGCTACGAATGATGATGATGGTGGTGATGATGATGATGATGATGATGGTGATGGTGATGGTGATGGTGATGGTGATGGTGATGGTGATGGTGATGGTGATGGTGATGGTGATGGTGATGGTGATGGTGATGGTGATGGTGATGGTGATGGTGATGGTGATGGTGATGGTGATGGTGATGGTGATGGTGATGGTGATGGTGATGGTGATGGTGATGATGGCGATGGTGATGGTGATGATGATGATGATGATGATGATGATGCTGATGATGGTGATGATGGTGATGATGAAGATGATGATGATGATGCTGGTGATGGTGATGATGGTGATGCTGATGATGGTGATGATGATGGTGATGATAATGGTGGTGATGATGATGGGGGTGATGCTGATGGTGATGGTGATGATGATGATGATGATGATGATGATGATGATACTGATGGTGGTGGTGATCATGATGATGCTGATGATGATCATGGTGATCATGATGGTCATGGTGATGGTGGTAGTGATGATGGTGATGATAGTGATGATGGTGATGAGAATGAGGACGACAAGGAGGAGCAGGAGAAGAAGGGAGGGAACGAAAAGTAGGAGGTGGAGGAGGCGTCAAGTTAGCCAGCTTGAGCGAATCAGAGAGCCCCGCCTATTCCCATCCTTCCTCCCGCAACAGAAGAATTCGTTGTAAGGTTGACGCAATCCCACCTAGCAAACGGAAGGCGTTCACGCGCGGCCACACTTCCGATCACTTGGCGCAGGGAAAACTGCGCGAGCCGCGCAGGGACGGGAGCGACAAACCTCCCGATGGGCGCGCAAAGACGGAGCTTGCGCCGAGCTGACACAGCACTGCCACTTTTAGAGGAAAGAGAACTATGCACATACACCGATTCTGGCCAGGCACATCCTGAGCCCAGGATCGGTGCATACGCCCGCTACCCTGGCCAGGAAGGTATATGCACCGATCCTGGGTCAAGGACGGGCCTTGCCAGGATCGGTGCAGGTGTATAGCTCTCTTCGCCCGAACTTTCACTCGCAAACTGCGCGGCGCTTGGGCGAGGTCGGCGCTTCGACCGCGCTCGCGCGGCCCCGCCGCCGCGATCGCGCTCGGGCGATGCGACGAACGGACACGCAGGCCCGTGCGGGCACGCCCCTCCCGATGCAAATATGCGCACGGAGCTCGGGCGAGGGCAGCCGCCCGCTCGCGCGGGCACCCCCCGAGAACAGAGGAAGAAGAACTGTGCACACACAGTGCGGGCGCGGCCGCACGAAACCCTCGCAAGAAACCCAAACCCTGGGAGCCCGTGCGCGAGGTGCACCTGGGGGGGGAAATCTGGAGCACCCTGAACGCAGCAGCTCCTTCAACGGCTGCGGGAAGTCACCGCGCAGCGCGAGGAGCGAAGAAACCCAGGATATCCTGACGAAAAGCATACGGTTTCTTGATGCGCGCCCCCACTGTACACCGATTCTGGCCAGGCCCATCCCGAGCCCAGGATCGGTGCATACGCCAGCGACCCTGGCCAGGAAGGCATGCGCACCGATCCTGGGTCAAGGACGGGCCTTGCCAGGGTCGGTGCATGTGTAGAGTTCTCTTCGCCCGAGAAGGATAGCGCGAGTGACAAATACGCGCCGCGCCGAGGCGGAAGCGCCAATTTCAGACGAAACCACCGCGGCGCCGAGGCGAGAGTCGAAGTTTCGTCCGCTCGCGCGTCGAAAGGTGCGCGCGCGAAAAATGCGCGTGCGCGCGCGAAAATAATCCCCAGACTATGTTTGGACTATTTTTTATTTATTTTTGGAATATGTTTTACGTGTCGTCGAAAATCCCCCTGTAGGGGGACAGGCCCGACCGAACGGTAGGCTGGAACATCACACAACACGAGGCGCGAAAAATGCGCGTGAAATAATGCGCGCGGGAGCTCGATCCTCCAGAAGAATCAGCGCGGCACCGAAGCGAGAGCGACATATCGGCCTTTCGCGCAGGATGGGCACCCCGTCCCACTATTGCCAAACAGTTTGCGCAACGTGGACGACAGAATGTCCGTGTTGAAAACGAAAATGTAGACTCTGCATGTGTGATGACGGAAACGGAAAGATGGGAGGTCCCGGATCCGGCAGCTGTCGACCGCCTAGGTGGCAGAGTAAAAGCATAGACTAAAAAAGGATAAAGAGTAGGAGGATAGGTAGGGAGAAGGGAGGCAGGAGGAGGAGGAGAAAGAAGGAAGAGGAGGAGGAAGGAGGAAGGTAGGAAGGAGGAGGCAGGAGGGCGTCGAGGGGGCGACCCGACGTCCCTCTCGAGGTCGAACTCCCAAGGGATCTGCAGCACCTCCTGCCTGTTGGCGAGCACGGCCTCGGCGAGCTCGACGACGAGGTCCTGTGGAGTATCGTCGTCGTCGTCGTCCTCCTCCTTCCTCGTCGTCGTCCTCGTCGTCGTCGTCGTTCTCGTCGTTTTCGTCAACGTCGTCGTCGTCGTCGTCGTCGTCTTCGCGGTCGCGGTCGTGGTCGTCGTCGCCGTCGTCGGGGGGGGGGGAGCTTCTGGAGGTCCCCCGCCACGCCACGCCCCGGGCGCGGCGCCCCCAGCGCCGGCAGGACCCGGAGGCCGCGAGGGGTCCGACGGATGGGCTCCCACAGGTCTCGTCGGCGGCGCCGACCGGCGCAGGCTCAGCCGCCGCCATCATCTCTTCGTACTCATCATCCCCCTGCCCTCCTCCTCCTCCTCCTCCTCCTCCTCCGCCTGCTCCTGCTCCTCCTCCTCCTCCTCCTCCTCCTCCTCCTCCTTCCCCTCCTCCTCCTCCTCCTCCTCCTCCTCC